GCGATACCTGTTGATGGAACTAAATATAAAGTTTCCGCATTAATTTTACGCGAACAAGAAATGAGTGAAGAATTTTCAATCAGAATGTTGTTTGACTCAAAAATCAAATTTACGTTCAATAAAGACGAGGAACTGAAACAGGAAAATTCCCGTGTTACGCTCATGTATCGGATCGATATTGATGTGAATCGTAATGAAAGTGGTGAGCTGGCTGTTTTCAATGAAAAAAAATGGAAACGGATACAGACATATCAACTTTACATCTCACGTAGCAATTATGTATCAAAACTGCATCACAACGATAATCGAACACGAACTTTACGCGACCCTCCAAATGGCACGTTAAACTTTGTTTTGGACGAAAGCTTTTCTAGAGCTCAGTTGCGTAATCCTCCAGGTAAGAAATACAAATATTTCCAGTAGGCTATATAAGGCTTGTTTCTTATTTCGGCAGGATCGAACGTTCGCTGGTGGAACCGAGTGTGCCTGTTCACGAATTATCTAGTTCGACGTCATGATTATGCTAATATTGATGTATTAATCGACCAGTGCAAGGAATTTCTCCGAAGCGACACTCGGCAGCTAACTTCAGATGAATTTAAGAGTTTTTTTCAAGAGTGTTCGACCTGCTTCACCTCTTTATTAAAGCATTCAACGAATAAAAGCGAGCTTTTGAAACATCTGCTTCGCATAATCGGACTGCTACCCATTGAAAGGAAAAATATTGACTTGAATTGTTCTCACACTCAGAATTTCATTATGATCATCCTCCGATGTGTTTCCGATGATTTAGAGAACCTTCTAGAATCCGTGACTGCTGTCGAGTGGACTCTTTTTGGCGAGGGTCTCGCAGCGCTCCTATGTGTCCAATTTTTAGCCCCAAAACATGGTATTAATCGCTCCGACAACGAAACCAACGACGTTTTTGCTTTGCTTCGTCGTATTCCTGTAGAAAATCAATATCGTCATTTTGCCGATAGTATCCTTACACGATTTCAAACTATTCAGCAACCATTATCGAGTTCAAACTGGACCGACCTTATGGTACGCATAAATTCTGATCGTTTTGTATTAAATATTCTTGAAAAAACAAAATCGGTCAAAACATATTTCAATTGGATTACTAAAACTTTGGAATTATGTGCACAAGTAAATGATTTTCGTAATAAATTCCAATTTGACTTTGATGAACGCATGGGCAATGATTTCGAAAGTAAGGAGTCATATGATAAAATTACTTATTTTCTTAATCTGTTCGTGTAATTTAGTAAATCTCGAATGTATTCAGTTTCTGCTGGAATTCTTGCAACGACCAAAAGAAAACAGAAACTTAGGTGTTGATGATTATCATCAAGCAATGTGCTGGGTGGTCGAATCCAATACTTTACTACGAAGAAATATTGCATCTTACTTGTCGAATCTGATTATTGATATGAACAACATTAGAAAAATTCGAGATATTTTCTGCTTCCCCCATTCAACAGCAATTTGTAACATCGAACTACAAAGCTTTTTATTAAAATCTCTTGCCACGAAAGGATCGCCACCATCATTTGACTTTTACCATGAGTGGTTTCTGTGTTTCTTAATACCTGATCAGCAACAGAATTCAATTATTTACAATAACAGTCTACACGAATACGAAAAAATATTAAAAGTCTGGGCAGCTCCTTTGGCAAAATCAAATAGCGTCTTCTTGAAATTGCTGAAGAATATTGATGGATTAATTAATGTTTCTTCACAAATCAACAAGGAAAGTTATCGATCATGTTTCATAAATCATATAATCGATCTCTGTTTTCAGCAAAGTAAATTACTTTTTTTTATTTTTTTTTAGTTGATTGCAACTTTTTTGCTTTTAGAGTCGATTTCTCCGATACTTACCGAAGGCCTAAATACTACACGAGAGGAGAATTTTCTGAAGCCATTCAAAACAAAATTTGCTGCCGAATACTTCGAGCCTTTTCAAACAATACTCAAGGATATGAATAATACTCAAAATATGTTGTGTCGTCTGATCGAATTGAATAAACGGGAGAAAGGAAAGAATCATCTAGTGCGTGCTTTGATTTATATAGCCACTGATAATATCGAAATAAATGACGAAGAAATTCTACAAGATACTTTCCATACACCTAATCGATCATCATTCACCTATTCGGTACTATTCGAAGATTGTTTTCAAACGTCAAAAGTTCGCAAAAAAGTTGTCGATCGATTAATAATTCAATTGAACACATGGGAAGAACAAGGTTTACGAGCAAATGAGATCCGTCAATGGAATAACTACGCCGATGATCAGCGTGAAGTTGCACGTCGCATTTGGAATTGTGTATGTAAGGAGAAACAAAAACCGTTTGATATAGATGCATTAGTTCATCGTCAAGAAACCGAAATGAACGACAAATTGGATTTAATAGATAATGTGGTGTCGTGTTTGGAGGCATACTGTCAGGATGCGTGCGACAAAATCACTTATGACAATTATCTAAAAATTGCGCAAGAACAATTGACTGAAAAAGTCCTGCGTTTAGTTCGAATACCTCCAGAGCTTAACGCACTGTTACCTTTCGCTAAACTTCTCAATCCGTTAATTGGTTCGAACGCTTGGCAAACATTTCTTGACAAACACAACAAAAGTATACTTATCAAACCATGATCGAATATTCATGTATCTTTAATATTGATGTGTTTGCTATTTAGACGATCGTGGTTCTCTGGAATCTGAATTGCCAGTAGATGAATTAGACAATCATGTTCCCCTTGTATCTGACTCGTCAGAATCTAACGTGGTTGTTCGTAATCTATGGACATTGGATGGAGGTTAGTTTAAACAATTTTCTTTATTTTCAAATTTAGGGGCATATCATTTCAGATCGAGCTGTTTCAACTGATAATTTGCATGAAATCACCACTACATCAGTAGCGATGGATACGGAAGATACTGAATTCAAAGTTACTCAAAAAAGCTGTCTGAGTATACTCGAAAAAGCGGCTGAGATCCGTGGACTTTTCAGCAGTGAATTGGAACAACTTTGCCTCAAATGGAAGGAACTACCCATTTCTTACTTGAGCGAAATGTTTTCGAATATGCAAACTGCGGATCAAGATTTACAGACGCTCACACCATTACTTGATCGTGCCGTCATTCCCGACTTGAAGAAACTAATTGAATATTGGAAAATTCATGAACGGATTGCGCATATTCACCAGGGTAGCATTAATGTTTTGAAACATCTTCAAGGTCAAACCACCGATGAACCATCATCTCCATTGAAAGCTGCGCTAAATACTACACAAGAACCTTCAGGTGCGGCATGTTATGAGGCCTATGAGAACTATTGTATTAATTATTCGCAACATTACTCAGATGACGCACTCAAATTGATTGCTCAGTATAGTTCGTCAGCCGAACTTCTCATATTTGTTCATTCGTTAAGTGAAAACGAGGGTGACAGTTTACTTGAGGCAGTCAACGATTTCGATGAAACGTTGACAGATACAAAAACAATGGTAGATTTTGCTGTGCTAAAGACATTTATCGATCGTGCTTATGCCAACATCAAACGAGCTAAAAGGGAGACAACTGCAACACCATTGAGCTTGGAAGATGTGATTTCCGCCTTTCAAATTCTCATGAATGAGTCCGAATTTAAAAACATCCTCGAATGTTTTGAGTCATGTTCCAAATCATTAGAAAGCATCAAACGTATTCATGGAGATTCAACAAATAAGGGGCAATCTAAGCGAAAACGTATATTTGATATTATGGCCGATTCAAGTTTTACATTTATTCATGAATCGATTAACGTATCCGGCCAGGTCCATGATCGATTTGATATAAAAAGTCAAAAACAATCGATGCGTTATGATGATCTTAGTGAACTTCGTGATCGTGCACGTCTGATTGAGTACTCTAATAATAAAATAAAAAACGAAACGGATCGAGAAATTGAAGAATTACACATGTTTGTTACTCTTGTTGATACAATCGAGACAATCTTAAACATTCTCACATCGCTTTATATGGCTGGTCATCCGTATGTACCAGAATTTCTAGCTTCTCGTAAAGTGTTCGAATGTAAAAAGGGTGATTATTACGACTTAGTAGAATTCAATTCGAAGCTTGACACATTGCTCCGAGAATGGGAAAGTCATCTGTGCACCATGTACAAAAAGTACATTAATTTGACTTATTTTTCACGTCAGCAAATCTGGACAATTGAAGAATCGTTGTACAACAAAACTGTTGAATCAGCCACTCATGCCGGCTACCATTTGTTAAAATTTATCGGTATTGAACCTAAGTTAATACCAATAAAGTATTTATCAGAACAGAGCACAGATCCTATGATTCGTCTTGAAAATGTGAGTCGAATACTTACTACTCAACATTCTATACCTAACGTAACTGTACTACCGGATTCAGATAATCGATTTATCAAGCCAGTGTATCTGGTCGAAACAACAGACGAAGGTATCTTACGTGCCATTTTGTCTCTCTTTCAATTTGGTAAAGAATCGCCCAGAGTCAATCATTTGTTCTATTGTACAGACAAAACTAGTTGGTTTGAAATACGAGCATTTATCTATCGTTGTTTTTATTCTCAAACATTACAGCAACTCATTCGTCCAGAACTATTATCACCATTGATTCAAGATCGTTTTGTTGGACTTCTAGCCGAGCTTTTCACCTCCAAACCAAAGCGAAATTTTCGTATGGGTATTATAACAACATCTCAGACCGGCCATTGGCAACTACTCAATGGTTTAAGAACTCTTCAGATAGTTTATTCTGTTCACGATCAAGAAATGCTTGGAAAAGAGGAACTCGAGAATACCATCCAGAAACTTCTTGAAAACAACGATGCATGTGTTACATCACAAATATCCGGTTTAGGTAAATCGACATATATACGGAACGAGATTCTTCGATTGAACAAACACTGCATCAAATTTCCTATCGGTGGTGAAATCAGTGCTGACATACTTGTAGAACGTCTACGCAATCAAGCCCAACTGGCATCATCTACAGCAGCCCTTCACATCGATATCGGTACTATCGAAAATGTTCAACAACTCAATGAACTTCTCTATTGTCTTCTTCTTTTCCGTAGCTTTCGCTTCGGACAAGAAGCAATTTATGTACCTCCTGATGTACCCATTTACATAGAACTCGATGCATCACCGCATACGTCGAATCTTCAAGAGAGAATGGTTATATTGAATTATTTGAAAAAGAAACACCTTCACAGCATTGACTTGAACTCATTAAAAGTAAACACTTGGCCAGAACTTCATGGAGTGATTGCTTATCTACAGGCTATCAAAAAAGGAGAAATCAATAGAAAAGATATCAATCAAGAGCAGCTTGAAAACGAGCTTGATCAAAAACGTTTTGATGTGAATACTTGTCTTGAATTAATGAAAGAATACTTCATTCAAAATCCAAACATGAAATTTCTCACATGGACTAAATTGTCTATTTTCATCGATGTTTACTACAAACTATTTTTGGGCTTCTCCAGATGTGGCTATTTTCTGGCTGAATTTACGCGTGGATCACAACTGCGCATAGATATTTTGCAAACTTTACTCAAATCGTCCGACCAGTTTACATCAGTTTCGGTTGAAGCTGTCCGAAATAGTCAACGTTCAGTAAATGAATCAAATATTTCGTTAAGTGAAGCTGTCGTTCGATGGGACACAATAAAACCATTCACAGTCGTTTTTACCGATACTGATGTTCCGTTATTTGTTTACAAGAAAGTACAAGATGTACCGCGTTCACTTGTTGCTGAATTTGAGTCTTATAAGCGAATTACTGGAAGTACTGATTTACTACTGCCCAATTTTGACGCTCTCACACATGTACAATTCTTTCTAAAACTTGTCAAACTTTCAAAGAAGTATGACAACAAGCCCATCTGTAAAAATTGTTTCCATCAGTATGAACACACTGTAGACCAGTGCACTGAATGTAACACACCTGATACTTTACTTCATCCAGTCAAAGCAAAAAGTCAAGATATCGAAACTACTCTGGAAAATATGGGTCGAAAACTGGAAGCTACATATGTACTAACACCTGATAATTATATTAAAATGCTTCTGATTTATTTACGCGTACAAAGTGGTGTCCCAGTTTTGATCATGGGTGAAACAGGTAATATAATACTTCGCTTGAGAAGGTTGTTTGCCAAAGTATGTCTAAAATAAATAATTTTTTTCTCAAGCCAAAGTGTGCCAAAATAAGTTGGTGAGGATTCACAGTTTTCACTCTCAAAAGTTTGACTCATAGATACCGACACAAATGTAAGAATCGATCTCATCTGGTTCGAGCTCTAGCAATCTCTATGCGAATATTTTCAAATGAACACATTGTATAGATGAAAATGATTATATATACCACAAGAGTAGTGTTGTATAGCGCAGGATTTCTTATAAGATAAAGTTAGATTGTTAAGTCCATTATATGTTGATGTATATGTTTTTTTTGAGCATGTAAACACATTGTCCTTCATATAGAAAGCAGTAGCTATTTATATAACATGCTAACAAAAGACTGGATAGAATAAGCCAACAGGATTTTATATATCCTTGGAAAAATACATGAGATGTTATATATGAAAAGAAAGGAAGAAATCAAGAGAGAACACTTTGGGAAATACCTGATAGAACGAAAGAAAGCAATAGCTATAACAAATATATATATATGTAAGGAAAGAAAGAAAGAAAGAGACCAAACATATGGATAATATCTATACTGTGACTCATCTTATGATATGTTTTAAGTACGTGTCATAACACGGATTAAGAAAACTTGTTCGCGCTGTCCTTATGCAGCTAAAATTTGGAATTCACATGTTTTTTGGCTATTTGTGTAAATTTTGTTTATGACTTTCTCTCTTAATGTACTTCTGTCGAGACGATTCAATCATGATAATCGAAATACCTCATAACAGCGTTAATTTATTTCTAGGATGCGGAAAGACATCACTGATTCAATTTCTGTGCCAAAGCATTTTAGACGACGAAATGGCAGTTTTCCGCATTCATGCAGGGATCACTAGTGAACAAATCCTTACGACCATGCGCGGATTCATAGAAAGGGCACTTGCATGTTCCCAAAACGGTCAGAACAAAAGATTGTGGGTGTTCTTGGACGAATTCAATACAACACCAAGCATTGGTCTTTTCAAAGAGATTGTTTGTGAGCGAACAATGTTGGGTGAACCGTTACCTTCGAATATGATTCTATTGGGCGCTTGCAATCCTCAACGACGGAAAAATGATCAAATTGCCATTGATGATAACATCGGCATTAAGAAAGAGCGATACGAAATGGAAAGAGTGGCTCGTGATGGGAATAACGCACTGCTATTATATTCTGTTGTGCCTATACCAGAAACCATGCTCGAATATGTTTGGGACTATGGGTTTTTGGATCAAGAAACAGAGACAAAGTACATTCGAACAATGCTGAAAAGATGTGTGAAGTTCGAAGATTTTGGTACAGTGTATGGCCATATGATATCTCTAATTTCAAAATCGCAAGAATATTTTCGTCAACACGAGGATGTCAGTAGTGTATCACTTCGTGATGTAGCACGCTTTTGCAATCTCTACAACTGGTTCTACAGATCTATTCTGATTCGTGAAGGTGAACAAATGTTTGTTAGCAATCCTTACATTGTACTTTGGCGTGCTAGTTTAATGGCTCTCCTGCTCTGCTACTACTTTCGTATTCGCTCGCCTAGTCAGCGTCGAGATTACCTCAGTTTAATTCAGAACATACTAAAAGGAGTTTTAAACAAGACTGCCAATAGCAACTTTTTAATCGACCTACTACGTCGTGAACAATTAAAACTAGTTGATGGAATGGAGTTGCCATCTGGTACAGCTAAAAATCAAGCATTGATTGACAATATCTTCGTTCTTCTTGTGTGCATTGTTAATCGAATTCCGGTTATCTTATGTGGCAAACCTGGTTGCAGTAAAACATCCGCTATACAAATTGTAATTAGCAATCTAAAAGGCAAACGATCCGAGCAGCTCTACTGTCGAACTTTACCTGAACTGATCGCAGTTTCTTATCAAGGTTCTCAAAATTGTACATCGGAAAGTATTATTAATGTATTTCAACGGGCGAAAAAATATTTGAAAGCAAAAAGTGCCACAGAACTCTTGCCGGTCGTTGTTTTCGATGAGATTGGACTGGCCGAACTGTCGCCCCACAATCCATTAAAAGTGCTTCATAGTGAGTTAGAAGTCGATGCCTGTCAACATGCCTTTGTCGGTTTATCGAACTGGCGTCTCGATGCCTCGAAAATGAATCGTGCACTCTATGTCGCCTGTGCTGATCCTGATATCAGCGATCTTCAAAATACAGCTACAACAATTATGTCTTCAATGCTCGATGGTAAAGATCAAGTGATTCGCCTTCAAGACTCGATTTTGAAAGGTCTTGCCACCGCCTATTTTGATTTGTACGAACAAATCAATACTGATCAACAATATAATAACTATTTTGGTTTGCGCGACTTTTATTCCTTGATTAAAGGTGTCGTCCGTGATTTGGCTGAAACTAAAGAACAAGATCGATACGAGAGTATTCGTCGACAATTAAAAATCAACTTCGATGGCATATTTGATGGGGCGGAATTCATGTGGAAACGTTTTTGTCGTCATACAACTCGACAACACTTAACAACTCAATATTCATCACCAACATTCAAACAACTGCTCGATCGATCGTTAACGTCACGTACTGGTCGTTATTTAATGTTAATTGGTGAGAATGAACGAGCCATCGACTATGTTGAACGATATATCATCGCTAAACAACAAAGATCACCTGTTCGTACTCTAATTGGAAGTTCTCTTTCGGGAGATCTAGTTTCTGGTACAACTTATACTGAACAATACAATTATCGACTACTAATGGATATTATTCTTCATGCCGAAACAAATGTCACATTAGTGATGCGTCAAATGGGTCATTTATATGAAAGTCTGTATGATTTATTCAATCAAAGTTTTGCCATTTCTGCACGAAAGAAATATTGTCGAATCGCTCTGGGTGCTTTCTATCATCCTCGATGTCTTGTTCACGATGACTTCTATTGTGTTGTTTTCATACGACAACAAGATGTAGCCAAATGTGATCCACCGTTTCTCAATAGATTTGAAAAACATCTTATTGATATCAATAGTCTAATTCATGAACGGCATGCATCATTAACCAGAAAATTTCTTGCCTGGCTAGCCGAACTCCTACCTACTGAAGGCAACAAACATTTTCCTCTTCTACAACATCTTTTCGTTGATTACAGTAATGAATATACTTGCAACTTGGTCATGGATGCATTCGATCATTTGAATATATCCGTCGATGATAGCGATGATCATACGGATGCCGTAATGGCTTTCTGTAAATCCAAATTTATGCTTACTAGTTCCTTAGATCTTCCTCTTGTCACATCAGTCCAGTCAACTAAAGATAATATTCATCCACTGATTGAACACTACTACAAAGTACATAGCAATCTCTCGTTTCTATCGATTATCAATCAGGAAATGAAGGAAAAAATGATCCCCAATCGCATTATCTATACATGCACACAAATTTATCATGTGATTGACTGTGTTAAAAATGATAATCGAATTGATGAAGTCAAACTGAGCGATTATAAGACTGAACTTGAACTGATAAAAAGAATCAAAAAACATTACAATTCTACTACTAATACCGTTCGTTTACTACTTATTCGTGTCGATTATCACCATGAACATCGTCACATCTTGATGCTCAAACATATTCTACTCAATGAACGACCATCGAGCACTAATTGTGGCATATGGTTAGTGTTTCATCTTCAACGTAATATGCTCAATCAGACAACGAACGATGTTTTATTCAATGGTTGGCCAGCCGTAATGATAGATAATATGAACGACAACAAAATTATTCCTCAATCTGTCCTTCTCAATCCGTCGTACTATGATTTAATCACACAACCGCAATATGTTCTTTCAGAAAATATGTTCGATGAATCATTCGATTGGTGTCTAACTAAATTGCGCTACATGGTTGTTGGACAAGATGGCAATCGGATAATTAATACTCATCGTGATCTATTAATCAATTTTGTCATACGATCGAAAATGGAATCGAAGAATTCGCTGCGATTGATCATTCGAAAACATCTGACAAATTTGATCCAAACATCGATGAAGCATCATGATTCATCTCGCTTTACTGACTGGCGTCGTGATCTACTCACTAACCCAGTAACAATCGGCTCGAGTCGGTCATGTGGAGATGCTGTGCAAACGACTGTTGCGCTCTTCTATCGAACATATCTCTTACTCTTATTGGGACATCTTGAAAAATACACATTTATCGATTCCTATTCGTTTTTGGTTTCAGAACATACCAGTACTGTTCATAAACAGTTGCATGACCTTTGGCATGAGCGCTTAGATACCACGTTAGAAACTATTGATTTTTCATTGACGAATATGGATATTATTCAAATTTCGTTAGTGTCTGGCTTAAGATTACCATGCGCGCAATATGAATATGAAACCATTCGATGCATTCGACAGGCAATGGGGCAACATATCCAGACAGAAGAGATAGGTCTTGATCAGCTCAATCGTTCGCCCGTCGAGCAATTGGGACATCGCAGTGCTTTTGGAAAGAATATTGAAACAATTTTTAACGATGAAATTCTTTTTAATCATTACTATCATGATCAACTGGCATTGGTTCAAGATGAAACGAAAATTTACCAATTATCAACAACATTCATTCAAAGTTTGCTTTCAACCAATTCGATTCGAACTGTTGAAGAACGGCTCAATCATCTATTTACTGGTTATGAAGAATTAATAGAATTACTACGACTATTCGAAATTGGTGTACAAGTAATCGTTGATGAAAATAAATTTAAATTCGATCAACAATTTATCAATCTTGATAAAGAAGAGTATCCATCGAATAGTAATGATAGTGATTTTTACTGTCTCGTTTTGACGAATGGTCAGTTCTACTTGATACCACCACGAGCATCAATGACCATGGAAGAAAAATTTACTTGCGATGGTGATCCATGGATTGAAACTAGTCTCATGAATCTGATTGAATTACTGGTCCATCAATCGGTCATTAACAGTGTTAAAGATATTGAACAGTTGACTAGTGTCTATGGTCAGATTGCTCAAGGTATACTGGAATTGAGTAGTTATTCGGTCAATAATCTAGAAAAATTACGTTCATATACTAGTCTTCTTCGATGTATTACAGCTCTGTCACCCAGTGAACAAGCGCTGGAAACATTCAAAATGGCTTGTTTTATCGGTAAATTCGATGAAGCGTTTACGTCTTGTGATACAATTCATTCATTCATAAATTATCTAGAGAAAATTATTGCTGAGCATCAACCGACAATCAGTCCTACAGTCATTCGTCAAAGTCTACTCAAACTTGAAATGGAGTTTTTAAAGAATTGGCTTGTCGATAATAGTGATCAATATAATAACATTCTTAAATTAATCGGTCAATCCAAAGATATGTGGCAATATTCCGCAAAAATCTTTTTCTATATTGAACGTAAACTTAAGCTGCCATCTATCATTGAAAACAATCATGGTCGAATTCCTGCAATCGAAGATTTAGCACCACTAGATCAGTTTTTACAAGAAACAAATGATTCGACAAGAAAAATAGAACGTCTTATCGTCAATCGTCTCCATATGAAACTTGTACTTGGTGCCAGCGAATTGGAAACAATTGAACAAGTATTAACAAATGATTTTGAACAGTTGGAAAAGAATATTCGATTAGTTCAGGACGAACAATCTCATAGTAATTTAGAGTTAATTTGTTTAATTAGTTGGCTAAAATATTATGCTCAATTATATGCATTTGCACTTAACCATGATAGTCACAATGAAATTATGCTACGACTTGATCGATTCTTTGCCAGTGATGAAACATCGTTTTGTGCGACTCTAAGACTATTCATTATTAAACAATTGTGTCAAATGTTCAAAGTAAATCTGCAAGGACTACGTGCTATATTTATCAATCGAAACCTTGTTTGGATTCGTTCGCTCATTTCTCAATCATCTAATCCAGACGGTATGCAACACAGTCTCATTCTTCCAACACCCCTATTCGAGTGTCGAACTGAATTCGATGATGTTCACGGTATATTAATCAATAATGGAAAAATTGATCAATGGAAACAACTGATTGTTCGATGTTCTGGTAACCAAAAACTTGCCTATAGTTTTCTCATATGGTTTATACACCAATATTCACATTTCTATACAGTAAATGCATTACCAGATAAACGTTTGGTACAAGTCATTGAACATGATCTAAGTCAAGAATTAAACGAATGTTTTACTCTGATCGGGTATAAATTTCTCATTTCACTCTGCACAAATTTTAACGATGATTCTTATTTTCAATTGCAATCTACGATGAACGAAGATGCTGTACATCGACGTCTGGTCGCATTGGATATTATTGCTTTGCTTATTTCATACAAAGCTCTCGGACGTAATACTTATTTAGGTAATCTTCTTTTTGATAGTAATCAGAAAATACCTGAAAATTACACTGAATATGTACAAACGAAGATCTGTTTGCCTGCTTTTCTGCCCAATGATCCATTCATTACCCAAATGATCGACGTGCGTACACAGATTACAGCGCGTTTGCCAAGAATTTCTCCGCGGAAACGTTTTATTTATCAGTGTTCGCACGATTGTCCCTGGATATTCTATTTTGAAAATTGTGGTGATCCGAATGATCGTCGTAAATGTCCGATGTGTAACAAGGATATTGGTGCTGTGCAAGATGGTGTTCTCATTGAACGCGATCCACCTCAACTTAAAATTTCGGTTGATGATGGTTTTCAATTTATTGCCAAATATATTGAAGCTTATAACCAAAAAGTTTGCTTTGGTTACCATGATCGAACATCGGCAGAACAGAGTAATACAGGAGAAAAGCCTGATCATCTTCAACATTCAATATCCTATCGTTTCATTCACATGTTCATCCACGCAATGCTTCTTTTCTTAAACGAATTAGGCTATTTGCCCGATTTCGATTTGCCTAAACGTGAACATTTTCAAGAACATTTCGAAAAAGATTATGCTCTTCTTGCTCAACAATTGAATGACGCCGAAGAATGCTACCTCTGGTTGTTCAAACTATTCAATCACTTAATCAATGAAGAATTTATTCATGAAGGTTTACTAGATAATCGTGAGAAAGTTGTACACTTAGAAACTTTCCTGGAAAAACAACTAATTTTCCCTCATTTGAATTCTGTTACCGAAGAAATTCGTCAATATAAACTTGCCTATATGGATTTTCTTCGACAATTCAATGAAAAATTTTCTATGGAAAGATATGTCGATGAATTCCAGGAGAACGACCAACAGTTCCCATTATTACATTATTTTAACGTAACAAATATTCATACAGCTAATCCGATGAATGAATTTTCTTCAAAACTTGCAATATTACCTTACGGTACTCAAACCTATCCGCTAACGATATTTTTACTAGAAAAAATAGATATATACGCCAATATTCAACATCTATATCCCATTGTTGCATTTACTAATCATTTAATACAAAAATTTGATTATCGAATAAAACGGAATGATGCATTGGGGAAAACAATTTCTAACTATTTAAATCAAGGATCAGATAGTGAAATAACTTTAGATCTTTATGAACAATTTGTTGATGCTTGGTACAAAATTACTATGAAAGAAGTTCAGTATCGATGTCAAACAGCCAAACTTGAACATAATATTCCACAATATGAATTTGCGAAAAATACAAAATTTGCTGCAGTATTATTAAATACATCGAAAGATGAAAGTAGCATTTTATTAGCTGCTTGTTTGACCACCTTAGGAAAATTACAAAATGAGATTGTAAATTTTTTTCATCATAAAATCATTGGGAATGAAGAAAGTTCGCGACGTCAACGGGCGATTCCCATTCAATCGATTCGAGCTGAGCATGTTCTGAAGCTTACGCCGAATGATATTAGTTTAAAATTAATTACTGATGGTTTTACAATCAATTACGAGTATGGTATGGGTAAAGATATTATTTATGATTATGAAGAAATCGAATTGACTTTATGTAATATGGTCAGTCGTTTGCCTTTGATTAATACAGAAAAACTGAATTATTTCAATTATCAATTCGAGCTATATGGAGAAAACTCATCCTTAATTAACGATGTACGTGCAAGAGTTAAGCAGGAATTGTTGACTGATGATGAACGAACGAAACTTCAAGGATATATCTCAGAGATGAGTAATGAAGGTATTCTTCACTATCTTGGTTCCCTTGATTATGTCTTCACTTATTTGGCCACAATCACTGCTGAATTCGGAGAAGATCCACCGAGTATTCAAGCATTTGTTCAAAATTGTATCAGTTCGACTGCATATCTTAACGAAAATGTCCTACGACGACAGCCATTTGCCGGAGTTAGTCTTAAGTATGTCATTGATTTGTATGAACTATTAGAAGAAAGAGCATTTGATCAAGTTTTACGTCCCTACGTTAAACAAGAATTATGTGAAGAAACGTTTTCCTTGCAGGAAAGAATACGTCTTATGGATGAATTTGTTGATTCAACGTCGAATAATAAACAAATTGCTGCGTGCTTTCGAAACTTGAATTGTTGGATAGCTATTCTCAAACGCATTATGGTGCGAGTACTTTCTAATGTTAGTGTACATCTTGATGTACCGTTAAATCTTTATCTCGGACGTCAAGATTTGTGGACGAGTGACATCACTGTTGACAATATACAAACGATTACCGTTAGTGATGATATTCTCTTGCAACATACATTCATCATATTGAAAGGCTTGGAAACTCGACGAGATCGCTTATTATCTGGAACGAGTCAAGTGGACATCGATCGAAATAAAACTAGTGCAAACGAACTGCAAACATCTCAAGGACAAATAAACCAAGCGAAAGCATGGCACGTAACAGACAACAGGAGTGGCAATACACCGAAAGTTATTGGAACAGGAAAAGGCAGTGGGAAGAAACTACGTTAGATATCGTGCCGCTGGACATGTTCTAAATTATGTTTTAAGACTGAGCATTCACTTTGACATAAACTCTATACAAATTAATTTTGCGAGTTTTATATTTTGATTGGATGGAAAAGAATAAGAACAAGTCATTGAGTGGATTTTGTTTTTCATATTTTTTTATAACAAAAAAACTTTAGGAAACATAATCGTACAAAAATCGCACTCCATTTTTCAGTTCATTCGTACATATGCTCTTATTAGATTTGAAAAAAAAACGATGTACCTGTGACGTTAAACCATTTATGAGCGCTTTATAGTGTAGTATGGTACGACTTGGACGTGTTGTTGTAGACCAGATGTGTAGTCAGTAAGGAAAAGTCAAATCAAATGGAGGCAATCACCATGAATAATTATCATGAAGGGGCTATCGAGATTTGATTTTTGGAATTTATTCGATTTATTTATAACTAGGGATTTATCTATGATACGCTCTGAAGATTTTTTTCATATTCACACTTTATGTGTTCAAACATCTTGTAATTGTTATCTCAAACCGTTTGAGACTATGAATGGTCTAACGAGATTATTAAAATTGAAAAATTAATTCGTTTTCCAGCAAAGTGGTATAGCTAGTAATTAATTGCTAAAATATTAGTAAATCAGATTAAGTTCATTTCAAGATAGTCATATGATATTCTCTAATCTCTTGACAAACTTTATTACTCCTCATCAAACAAATTTTACAAGTAATAACATATACACTCCTGGACAAAAGTAACGACCCCCCCTGAAGTGATACCA